TTAATGTTAGTTATTGAATATTAGAAACAGAAGAATAGCTGACTGTTCATGTCACCATTGGCTGAAATCGTGGCTGAACTATGACCTAATTCTATCCACCTGCCTTAGCTCCAATTTATGTTATACTATTGGCTAGCAAAAATGAATCTAAGTTAAAAGCAAGTGGTTTCATATCTGCTTTCTATGGGAGAGAAATTCACACTTACTACTTATGTCACTCACTTCATAAATACGTAGGAGCAGGAGTAGGCAGCTCAACTCCTTGAGACTGCTCTGTCATTCAATTTGATTGAAGCTGATCTCATTTTGGCCTCAACTCTACTTTCCTGCCAACTTTCCATAACCCTTCAACTCTTTACTAATTAAGAATTTGTCTATCTCCTCCCTAACCTTACTCAGAATCTTTGCATCCACTGCACTCTGAAATTCCACAAATTCATGACTCTTTGAAAGAAGTAATTCCACTTCATCTCTGTTTTAAATCTTCTACCCTTTATCCTAAAACTATAGCCTCATGTTCTAGATTGCCTGACATGAGGAAACATCCTTCTATGTCTACTTTGTCAATCCCCTTTAGCATCTTGTATACCTCAATTTGAATGCCTGAATGAAACGACATCTTTATTGTGACATCATTGAATGTCAAGAGATGATGGTTAGATTGTCATTGCCTGGCATTTGTATGGTGCAGATGTTAGTTCCAATTATCAGCACAAACCTGGATATTGTCTAGACCTTGTTGCACTTGAACATGGACTGCTTCAGTATCTGAGGAGCCACAAATGGTGCTGAATATTGTGTCATCATCAATGAACATCCCCACTTCTGACCTTTATGATGGAAGGAATGTCATGGGGTTGGGACAGCTGCTTCATCCATGTGATCATATTTTCTGTATTAACCTTTTGTGTGACTCTTTCTTAAATGCTGCCTTGAAGTCCAGATACACTACATCTACAGGATCTCCATTATCCATTTTACTAGTTACATCAAAGCGCTCCAGCAAATTAGTCAAACATGATTCACCCTTCGTAAACCCATGCTGATTGTGACGGTTTGCATTTTGTCTTTGTAAACATCGTGTTTAATAATTCCTTAATAACGGATTCTAGCAATTTGCCAATGGCAGATGTTAAAATAACATCTATAGTTTGAGAGTCTGCCTCCTTCCCTCCCTCACTTTTGGAATATTAAAATATTTCCAGTCCATTGGAACCTTTCCACCATCCAGGAATTTTGGAATATCATAACTAATGGATCTACTATTTCTGCTGCCACTTCCTTTAAGACCCCAAGATGTAGGCATCAGGTCCTGTGGTCTTGTCTACCTTCAATCTCAATAGTTAGCTGAGCTCTAATACACTCATTCTGGTGATTGTTCAAAGTTCCTTTTCTATAACCTCTTCATTGCCAGTTACTATAAAGAAGATGCTAATGTTGTCCTCGACTGTGCCAACTGAGGGAAAACATTAATTTAGTGTCTCTGCCATTTGTGTTCCCCATGATTAAGTTGCTAGTCTCTACATCAAATATTCACTTTAGCTACTGTCTTCCTTTTTATATACTTCTAGAAACTTTTGCTATCTGTTTTTATATTTTGTACTTGTTTTCTTTTCCTAATTTGTGTTCTTTTATTACTGTTTTAGTAGCCCTTTGTTGATCTTTAAAAGTTTTTTTTTAATGTTCCAGCCTGCCACTGGCCTTTGCAAATGTGGTATGCCTTAGTTTTTGCTTTTCTGTTATATTTAACTTAGTTAGCCAAGACTACGTTTTTCCTCCTCTTGTAATCTATCTTTCTTGTCTTTGATCTATATTTTGTTGGGAGCAATTTAATATCCCTAAATATCTGCCACTGTACTAACTTTTAGTCTTCCTACCTGGTCCATTAGGGCCAAATCTGTCCTCGTGCCTCTGTAATGACCTTTGTTTAACTTCAGAATGCTAGTGAGAGACTCCATTTTCTTGCCCTCCAATTGAGTTTGAAATTTTAGCATGTTCTGATCATTCTTCCTTAGGTGATCCTTTGATTATAAGATAATTAATTAATCCCACCTCATTACACAATGCCAAATTCGAAAAACCTTGCTCACTGATTCCATAACATATTGCTCCAAGAAACAGTCTCTAGTACATTGAATGAACTCTCCCTGTGGTTTGATCCAGTCATGAGGGCGTGTTTCACAACTTCTTTCTTGAATGAAGTGGCTTTGGATTTAAGGCTTATGACCCTTTGTCCTAGATGCTATTATTAACATAAAAAGTTATTCTTAACTGTCCTACCAATTTTTTTTTTGAGGTTTTTTTGGAACATTTAATCAAGGATTCCCTTAACCCTTTATACTCCAAAGAATGAGCCCAGTTTGTTTTTTCTCATCAGTTTAACTTCTGGAGCTCCAAACAAAAAAAAATTTGGGCATATCTCCTTATTTTGTTATCTTAATCATTTAATAAATATTGTAGATAGCTTAGCCCTGGCACAAATCCTTGTAGTGGCAACAATAGGCTCTTCCTAACAGTACCCAATTTTCTTGTGCTTTGTCTGCTGTCACCTAACTATCTCCCAATCAGGATAGTAACATGCCTTTAATTCCTTGATCTTTAATTTTAACTAACAGTCTTTTTCTTCTATGTTGCCAGCTAGAAGTCCGTACAAACTGCATTTACTAACACTCTCCTGTAACTGCTGTGAAACTGAAGGTGCCCATTTAAGTTGAATGGAGACCTGTTTAGGCTCAATTCCCACCACCGCCCCCTGAATAGTACACATTCACTCTGAAGAAAGACAGGTGAATGAGTTCCAAGCTGACTTTGTAGTAGACCATGTTGCAGTTGTACAAGATGTTGGTTGGTCACTTTGAGTACTGTGTACAGTTCTGGTTGCCCTGCTTTAGGATGGATATTATTAAGTTGGACAGGGTGCAGAAAAGATTTGAAAGGATATTGCTGGAACTAGAGGGTGTGAGTTCTAAAAATAGGCTGGGAATTTATTTCCTCTGGAGCATAGGAGATTGAATGGTGACCTTTTATAGAGATTTATAAAATCATGAGGGACATAGATAAGGTGAATAGCAAATGCCTTTTCCCCAGAGTAGGGGAGCTCAAAACTAGAGGACATGATTTTAAGGTGAGAAGAGAAAGATTAAAGTGACCTGAGGGGCAACTTTTTTGGAGAGTGGTTTGTTTGTATGGAACAAACTGTCAGAGGAAGTGGTAGGTGCAGGTACAGTTATGGCATTTTAAAAGACTTTGGGGCAGGTATGTAAATAGGAAAGGTTAAAAGGAAGATGGACCAAAATTAGGCAAATGGGACTAGAGTAGTTTGCAAAACTTGGTCAGCATGAATGAGGTTGGATCGAAGGGTCTGTTTTTGTGGTGTGTGCGACTCTGTGTGCGTGGTGCGACTCCATCAACAAATGCCAAACTACACTAATCACACTTCTCTGCACTCAGTCCATAGCCTACTATGCCTAGCGTTTTTAGTACATGTCCAGATAATTCAAAAATGTTGTGAGAGTACCTGCCTCCTCCACCCCTGGGCAGCGCATTCCATATGGCTACCACTCTTTGGGTGAATTTTTTTTCTCTCCGATCTCCTCCAAACCACTTGCTCCTCACCTTTAAACTTATGCTTGTCTGGTCTTAGACACGTCTGCCATGGGGAAGAGATTATCACAATCTAATATCTATGCCTCTCAATTTTGTCTTGATCAGATTTACCCCTCAGCCACCTCCACTCCAAGGAAGACACGCCCAGCCTATCTAGTCTCTCCTCATAACCTGAGACCTTTCATTCCAGGGGATGTCCGAGTGAATCTTCTCTGCATCCTCTCCAGTGCAATCATGATCTTCCAATAGGGTGATAACCAGAACTGCACACAGTATTCCATTGTGGCCTCATCTATATTTCATAAAGTTGTATCAAGACTTCCTTGCTTTTATATTCTACACCCTGGCTAATGAAGTCAAGCATTCCATATGCTGCCTTCACCATCCTGTCTACTTGCGCTGACACCCTCAGGGATATATGGACTTGTTGTAGTCATATTTATAGTCTAATAACTCAGTTATGTCAACTGGCAAAGTAACATCTGCAATTCTACAATGCGATGATTCTCTGAACCACTGTTTCTCTGAATTCACAAATTTCCAAGATTTGGAATGTCACTTGGTATATAAGGAGTCAGATGGCACTTTGTTTTCCTCCATACCACATAATTTTCCAATTCTCCAATAGCTCACAAGTGGATGTCTTGCCTCCCTTGAAAATGGGAGCTAGTCACTAATTCTTACTACTTAATTGTAGTCTCATTGGCTTGCTGCCTCTCATCCTTACCCTGAAGTAGAAGTGTTTTGCCTGAAATCAGAAACATAATATCTGATAAATACACTACACACTAGACCATTAAACACTGTTTAGCCAGCATGTGATATTTGTTATTGATGAAAAATATTCCTTTGAAAGAAAAAATGTCATATTTATTTATAAGTTCTTTTGACAATCTCCAGCGGTTACATTGATTTGCTGGGTTATATGATGTCTCAGCATTACTGCTTTAGTGGTTTTAAAGAGCCATCCAGTTTGTAGCTATGTTGTAACTGCTTAAAGGCAAGATTACCAGAATAATATGGTAGATAACATAGGCTTTGAGTCTTCAGATTCTAATTAGTGAACACAGGCACTTTTCCGGAACTTTTAAATTGAAAAGCTTCAACGTTGGGTTTTTTGAGGGGGAAAAAATGAATATTGCACTGATCATAAATATAGTTGTAGTGGTATACCTATTACTTTTATTGCTTAGTAGCTGTAACCAAGTACAGGATTTGTTGAGAAGTGCATTAATCTCGCCCTGTTTTTAGCATGTTTGTGCTTAAGCTCAAACTGGAAACCCAAGACCACTTGTTAATGATGCTGCAGATTTAATTCTGTGATTTGGTAAAATTAATTTTGAAAATTTTAGCTTCTGAATGTTACAAGTATTGTCAACCGTCGAATACAAGATTCTGAATTTATGGAGAAAGCTCATGAGGAATCACAGGTCATAGTTACAGAACTGACCTAACAATGTCTTCTTTACATAGGTAAGTTGCTTTCTAATCATCTTTTTTCGTAAGACTACTTCCTCTATTAAGGTTTAATTCCATACGATTTTACCAAGAAATAGTCACATTAGGAGCACAATTAAAAATTTAATAGCCATTCCAGAGAGGTCATTGCAAAGTTACTGATTCTGGGAGCAAAATATTCCTGGAAAATTCCCTTTTAGAAGGGATTGAAAAAAAATAGCAAAAGGATTAGCCCCGATTATAAAGGACTGGATAGAAACAGTGGAAAGAAGATGCTAACTCGGAAAACCAAGATGTAGATTGGGTGGAGCTAAGACCAAGTAATGTGAAAAGATGCTTCTGAACTTAGTTTGTAGGTTCCCTAATAGCAGTTACCCTGTCAGGTAAAGCATAAATCAGGAAATTAAAGGTGCATATACTAAGGACAATACAGCCACGTGGGAACTTTAATCTTCCAATGCACTGGGAAAACTAAACGTGTGGTAATTGTGAATTTATGGAGTGTATTCAAGGTGGTTTTCTAGATCAGTAAGCTGAGAAGTCAACAGTCTATTTTAGTTTTACCATTGTGCAATGAGACATGGTAAATTCATAACCTTGTAGTAAAGCAGCCTTTGGGCAAGTCTGTAAAATACAACTTCGAGTTTAAGAGTAATTTTGCTAAGGTCTTAAAGCTGATTGCCGCAAACTGCAATTATAGGGGGAGGTTGGTTTATGTAGATTATGAATCTGGATTAAAAGATATGAGATAAGCAAGGCAAACATTTAAATAGTTAATGCACAACAGCTATCTATTCCTTTTTTTTGTAATAAAAATCCTATGGGGAAAAGTTTTGGGGCAGTTAAAGATGATACATTTAAAAAGTGGTTTAAATATTCTTTATCTGATTTCATGGGAGAAGCCATTAAAAAAGATTCAGGAACTAATGGCAAACCAAGGATATAAAGGAAAATGGAAAAACTTTATTGATCTAGTTTTTCAAAAAGAAAAGTGGAGAAAGTAATGGGGCTAAATTTGGCAAATTCCCTGGACTTGGTGGCCTATATCCTAGCTCTTTCAAAGAGAGAGCTGCAAAGATGGTGGATATCTCTTCTGATTTAAAAGAATTCTGTAGAATTGAAAATAGAATTATACAGGTACAGAAGAATTCATTTAGTCCATCAAGTCTGTATTGTACTGCAATACTGAATCTATGCTCATCTCACTTTCCAGCACTGGGCCCATTACTTGAATGTTATGACATTTCAAGTGCTCACCCAAGTACCTTTTTAAAGGTTATGATGTGGAGGTGCTGGTGTTGGACTGGATGGACAAAGTCAGAAGTCACACGACACCAGGTTATAGTCCAGCAGGTTTGTTTGAAATCAGAAGCGCTGCTCCTTTGTCAGTAAAGTGGACTTCACCTGATGAAGAAGCAGTGCGCTGAAAGCTTCTGATTTCAAATAAACCGGTTGGATATAACCTGGTGTCATGTGACTTCTGACTCTTTAAAGGTTGTGAGGTTACCTGCCTTTCATTCTCGGCATAGATCGCAATTAAGAAAAAAAGTGAATTTTAAAAACTACAAGCAAGTAAACTTGCTGTCAATAGAAATCCCTAGCTCTATTAGGGATGGAATAGTGGGAAACTTGGATCAGAATATTTTTAAGCACAATCAACACAAATTTGCTAAAGGAAACATGTTTGATCATTTTGTTGGCATTATTTGAGGTTTAACTAGTCGGGTGGAAATGTGTATATCAGTGTATGAACTATGTTTGGATTTTCAGAAAGCATTAATAAGTTACCTCTCAATTCCATCAATCCCAATGTTCACATACAAGAGCAATTTAACAGCGAGCTGGATGAGATGGAATGTATGGTATTAACTGTTGTGGATGGCCGCAAAATGGTGCAGTTCTTTTATATCTGTGCTAAAGAAAGATGGCACCCAAAACATCTAAATCTTTAAAGAGATGCTGACACAAAATTCCATATTGGAAGAATTTAATTCCCATATTCAGAAGCTTGATTCTATTCCAAGCTCAATGGTAAACGTGAATATTGGTCATTCTGTCACTGTCCTGTTGCAGCAAATTCTGACTGATGGATAAACTGAAAGATACTCTGGAAGTAACATCTTTCAGATAGCATTCTGAAAGCAGTGATTTCTTGAGTTTCTTTCATCAAGTGAACCAAGCAATATTCATGTTTAGCATTAAACATTGAGATTGATAGAATTGTGAGGTACTTTACTGATGCTTTCTGAAAATCCAAACATACTGCATACATGAGGGAAGTAGCAAGCAAGGGGATTGGGAGAAGGTAGTGGCAAGTGTAAGGAATGATGGATTCGGGAAAGGGGAACCATTAATAAGGAAAAACAAAAATAACATTTTCTGCCCCTTGGGTGTTCCTTGAGGGTTGCTATAGCCTCCCAAACTGTAGTGAAGATGTAAGCGATGGTATTAAACAAGAAATCAGATACAGTAAGGGTATAACTGTAAATGGGTGACTGCCCAATTTATATGTAAATTACTAAGCAAGCTGGCATTAATATTTTGGAAAAGGATTTTATGGAGTGTGTACATATTGGTTTCTTAGATCAATACCAGAACCAATCAGAGACCAGGTGGGTACTGTGAGATGGGTACTGTGCTATGAGAAAAGATTCATTAATAATCTTGTGTCAGATCCCAAGGGGTACAGCAGTTGTAATATGATAGAATTCTTTATTTCGATGGAGAGTGATGTATACAAATCTAAAACTGTAAGCCCTGAATCTAAATAAAGGGAACTGAGCGTATAAGGCACGAATTGGCAAGGATGGATTGGGAAACCTTACTAAATAGCTTAGTGGTGGATAGGCAATAGTTAATATTTAAAGAATGTGTGGATGAATTTGAGCAATTATTCATTACTGTCTGGCACAAAATGAAAGAGGAAAGGTGGCTCAGCCATGGCTTACCATATAGAGTAGTGATAGATCCAAAGTGGAGACTTGCTTGCAAATTTCTTTAGCAATTTTATACCTGAAGATTTGTAGCATTTTAGAATTCCACAAAAAGTGGACAAAGTGTTGAATCGAGGGGAAAGAGTGTACAAGTAAAATTGCAGTGAACATTAAAACTTCTGTAGATACACAAAAAGAAAAAGGTTAAAACAGACAAATGTAGATGTCTCATTGGCAGAAGCTGGTGAAATTATTATGAGGAATAACATGTATTAGTAAGTATTAAAAAGTATTAGTAAGAAAATAATACTAGAGAAACTAATGGGATTAAAGGCTAACAAATCACCAGGGTCTCATAACCTACATCCCAGAGTAACAAAGGAAATTGACCTGATAATATTGGATGTATTGGTGGTCATCTTCAAAATCTATAGACTCTGGAGCAGTTCCTACAGATCGGAGGTTGACAAATTTAACCACATGACAGTAACCAGGGCGGCACGGTGGCCCAGTGGTTAGGACTGCTGCCTCATAATGCCAGTTACCTGGGTTCAATTCCATGCTTGGGCGACTGTCTATGGGGAGTTTGCACTTTCTCCCTGTGTCTGCGTGGGTTTCCTCCGGGTGCTTCGGTTTCCTCCCACAGTCCAAAGATGTGCAGGCTAGGTGGATTGGCCATGCTAAATTGCCTGTAGTGTCCAGGGATGTGTAGATTAGGTGGGTTGTAGGGGGATGGGTCTGGGTGGGATGCTGTGAGGGTCGGTGTGGACTTGTTGGGCCGAAGGGCCTGTTTCGAACTGTAGGGATTCTATGATTTCTATGATATTTAAAAAGGAAGAGAGAGAAAAAAATGGAATTACAGACCAGTGAGTTTAATATCAGTAGTGGGGACATGCTAAAGTCTCTTATAAAAGATGTGATAACAGAACACTTGGAAAGCATTAAAAGGATTGGACCAAACCAACATGGGTTTATGAAAGACAAATGATGAATTTACTAAAGATTTTTGAGGATTGGGTATGGAAGTTTTGGTTTATAAAGAGGCTGGATAGGCTGGGACTTTTCTCACAGGAGCGTAGGAGAGGTGACCCGATAGGGATTTATAAAATCATGAGGGGTAAAGATGATGTTAATGGTAGATGTCTTGTCCCTCTGATGAGGGATTTTAAGACTAGGGGCTTATTTTTAAGATGAGTGGAGACAGCTTTAAAAAAGACATGGGGGTGCAATTTTTTTTGTTTGACACACTGAGGGTGGTCAGTGCGTGGAATGAACTTCCCGAGGAAGTGGTGGATGTAGGCGCAGTTACAACACGTAAGTACATGAATGGTTTGGAGCGATATGGGCCAAGTGCAGGCAGGTGAGACTAGTTTAGTTTGGAATTATGTTCGGCATGGATTGGTTGGACTGAAGGGTCTGTTTCTGTGCTGTATGACGCCATGACTCAATTTAAGTAGTAGATTAAGGAGAACCAGTGGATGTGATATATTTGGCTTCTCTGGAGGCCTTTAATGAGGTTACCGGGCCAAATTAGAGCACGTGGGATGTGCGTAATATGTTAGCGTGGATTGAGTAATGATTGATAGACAGGAAACAGAGTGGGAATAAATGGATCTCTTTCCAACTGCAGGCTGTTTTTTTTTTAAAATTCCATCACAGGATGGTGGGCATCACTAGCTAGCTGAGCATTCATTGCCCAGCCTTAATTGCCCAGAGGGCAGTTATGAGTCAACCACATTGCTGTGGGTGTTGAGTCACATGTAGGCGGACCAGGTAAGTATGGTGGTTTCCTTCCATAAAGGATATTGGTGAACCAGACAGGGTTCCATGATCATCATTAGATTTTTAAGTCCAGATTTTTATTGAATTCAAATTCCATTATCTGCCGTGGCAGTACTTCAACCCATGTTTCCAGACATTATCTAGGTCTCCAGATTAATACTCTGGTGATAATACACCTCCTCTAAAGGATACGTGCTTGGGCCCTAACTATTCTCAGTATGTATAAAGTAGCTCAGTGGTTAGCGCTGCTGCCTCACAGCACGAGGAACCCAAGTTTGATTCCATCCTCGGGCGACTGTCTGCGTGGGTTTCCTTCGGGTGCTCAGATTTCCAAAGATGTGCAGGTTAGGTGGATTGGCCGTGGGAAATACAGGGTTATAGGGATATGGTGGCTCTGGATGGAATGCTCGTCGTGGGGTTTATGTGGACTCTTCGGCCAAATGGCCTGCTTCCACATTTAGGGATTCTTTTTTAAGAAAAATGACCTGCATAAGGGAATGCAACATTTCCAAGTTTTCTGATGTTGCAAAGCTGGGTGGGATTGAGAGTTGGCGCAAAGCTGGGTGGGTGAAAAACAGCATTATTTAATGGTGATGTATAGCAAAATTTTTATTAAGGCACCCATGGGACCAGGAGTGTGCCGGTTCAACAAATATTCCGGTTGATCAAAAGGTGTGCATAATCAATGTAAAAACACAGTAAGTAATAGAAACATAATGCAGGGGTATGTACATCACCGTTAAATGTTTTCTACAGCATAAGTCACTTAAATAATAACATAATTCTGCCTTGAATAAAACTTACCAGCAGAGAACCTTCTTACTTTCTCATCCTCAGCTGACTACTTGGGCACCGCAGAGATCATGATAATACAGTAAACTTCTGATACTTGAGGTATATAATTTTTGCTGGTTTGAGAGTGCTGGTTCAAACAAAGTTTGCTGTGTAGGGAAATGTAAGTGTATTAAGGTATCCTTGCATACTGGCCAATGAAAATGGACAGACAGATGCAATGAGCAATGAGGAAGGCAGATGGTATACTGACCTTCATTGCAAGTGGATTTGAGTTCGGAAGTTGAGATGTCTTACTGCAGTTGTGCAGGGCCTTGGTGAAACCACAGCTGGAGTATTGTGTGCAGTTTTGGTCTCCCTGCGGAACAGGACATGCTAGCCATAAAGGCAGTGTAGCAAAGGTTCACCTAGGCTGACATCAGGGATGACAGAATTGCTCTTTGATGAGAGATCAGTTCAACTAGGCCTGTATCCACTAGAGTTTAGAAGAATAAGAGGGCGTCTGATTGAAATGTATAACAGGGTTGGAAAGACTAGATGCAGGGACAATGTTAATTTCCTGTTCGGGGTGTCTAGAACCAAGAGTCACAGTATCAGGATTGTGGGTAATCCATTTGGAACTGAAATTAGGAAATTGGGAGAGGAATTAATGAGCGAGTGGGAACAGCAGTGTCAGGTGATGGGAGTGGTGAGCAGGAGGGATCAAGGAGGTAAGGGAGAGCTCAACCAGAGAAGAGATAGAAAGTATTTTTTTCTAAAAAGCAAACTGAACATGTATAAGTAAGGCAGGGTCCTTGGCGCATGTGCAGAAATTGTGTTAAAATGAAAATGAAGATCATGGGGTCATGGCTGGCAGCACCATTCAGATGAGTTCCCTAATTTACAAGCTGCTCAAACAAAACCCACTGTAAGAAGACACTTTAAGTGGGGGATGTGTGTTTCGAAGTGTAGTTATCCCTGGTTCCCCCTGCCAAACTTGATCGCCTTCTCAACCAATCAAATGATCTGGTTATTATTGCACCTTTGTTTGAGAGTTGGTTTCCTACAGTACAACAGTTGACTGCATTTTAAAAAATATGACTTGTGGGTAAAACACTTTTTTTTTTGTCTGGTGGATGTGAGGTCCTTGCACCCTTGATTTCTCCTACCCACCATCCCCTTTTCCCCCTTCCTTTTCTTTCTTTTTCTGTTTCTACAGGTGAATTTGGATAGTTGAAAATGTTCCATAAAAAATCAAGGTGCTTTGTAGCTGAGAAAGACAGATATTATCTGTGGTTCCCCGTGCTTCCCAATAACTGTGTTACTTGAATATTATGATGCTAGGATAATCTTAAACTACCATACTGGTGTATTCTAACAGAGCATTCCGTACATCCAGCAAAATATTTATAGCTGGAACATTGTATGTATGAATGATTTTAAGCACTGTTATAGTCTAGTAAAACTCTAGTTTTGATTTTATTTTGGCATTTACGGTTTTGAAGCTCTAAATTTAAAAATTAATCCTGTAATGTGGAATTTCTTAATCCTAAATAGTTTAACAACTGATTAATTGCATTTTTCTCTCAAAGATTTACACATTTAGCCTCGTGTTGCAATACAGGGATCAGAGATTCACTGTGACCTTCCTGCATCTGCTTGTAATAAACTCCTGCAGAGATTCTGTTCCCTTTGTGTTTGGATTGAGAGGAAAAGTTTGAGGTGAATGAAAAGAATATTGAAGAGGCACTAACAATTGATCTGGGGGGACTGAAATTATGTAACTGAATTTTCGTAAATGAAAATATTTGTTGCTTTTAAACATTGTTCAAAATGTTACTGAGCCAAGGCATTGTATGAATGTGGAACTTCTGCGCTATATTTGAGTGCACTACTTATTCACATTGAACCATTCAAACTCCCTTGACAGCCCAAGGTCTTGCGTGACTGAATCATTTTAGACTGAAAGTTGTGGTTTCAATCTACAGTCTGTATTCGCTCAGCTAATCCCAGCCTAGGCAGCAGTTGAAACCACACAATTATCCTCAAAGCTTTGGGCTACGAAGATTAAAACAAACTTGGGCTCCTTAGTTTGGCCAGCTCTCTGTAGCCTCTTGTGAGCATCCTGTGAATGCAGAACCTCACCATTCCTGGGCACCCCTACCCCATCAGAGTGCTTTGTTTAGGTAAATATGCTAAGATCAGCCACATGCATGGATAATTAGACCTCTTGCAACCAAACCTGGGATAAACGCACCAATGGGGAGGAAGACTGTTAATTGAACTTCGCTGGAACAAGATTTTCATTGAGAGGCAGGTAGTGTTGGTAAACAGTAGGGACATAGGTTTCTTCTGAGATTTGAATTCCACTTGTCAAGCGTCTGTAATTGTTCCCCGCTCTGTTTTCTTTTGTAGGTGAGGTTTTTCAAACAATACTGTTGTCCAGGTTGTCATTTTGTGAACAGGCAGACATCTGTTCCAACCTATTGTTCAAATGGCCAAATTTTAATTGCCACAGAATAGGGAGCATAAGGCACTCATTTTAGTCACTGCTGTTCACACCTACAGGCAATTTTAGGAAGCAACGAGTGAAAAGGATCCACATGTGCGCACACAACAGCTCTCGAAAGTTGATACCAATGTTTTAGGCTGGTCATTCGGCTTTTCTCTTTGAAAGTATGTTTAAAATTTTAAATGTTTAAAGTATTAAGAATATTGAAAATGCTTTTTGGCATTGTTCCTACCACCATCCCTATCCCTGTCCAACTGCTGCTGCGTATTCTATTTCAACTCAAATGAAACATTGCATGTGATAGTACACATAAGAAACAAAAATCAATGGCTGAAATTTGAAAATGAATCAAAACATGAAAAACTTTCATGCATGTTCATCAGAATTGTTGTAGGCTCATTTTCGAGTAAAACCAATGCATTTTAAATGGATTGTGATAGCTTTTGATACAAAGAAATGAAGAACTACAATTATGAAGTAATAAATCATCTATTTGTGTAAGAAATCAGTGGATGATAGAGCTACCTAATAATTCTATGTTAACCTGCCATTTATTAGGAAAGTAGGTGGAACTATTCAAGATAAAGACAAAAAAATCTACTCACTGTTCATCACAATTTCTGCATAGTTTCTGCCCAAGTTCTTGAGTGGTGATAAAGTCAGAGAAATGCCGAATGACCAACTGTCCAATTTTTTTGACTTGATTGAAAGAAAAGTTCAGTATTTTGTGGAACATGACCTTGTGAATTGTAGTTACAGGAAAAGCATTTGTGTCCTGGACTCAAATCTGAAGCCTGGAAGATGACTGAGAAAATATTAGCTAACTTGTGTTTTAGATTCTGCATGAGTAGCATCAGAGGTTGTGGGGCAGTAGAGCGAGCATTTCAAAAAAAAGGATACTGGCAAAACATAAAAGACTATTGTATGGCATATGCAAGTTCATTTTCTTTCTTGCCCCCTTGCCCCTCAGGCATGAATATGATTAGTGCCTTGTTATGTGTGTGAATTCATACTACAAACCGGCCTCTAGCAGAATACAAATCAGATGTTGTCCACATCAGATGGTGGCTTTTAAGCAAATGGATTAAAACAATAAGTTCCAGATAACTGGCAAAACTACTGGAAAACATTCATCGTGTCCAAGTCACAATATTTTTAAAGTCACCTTTTTGATGTTACAGCAATTGAATATTACAGGGTTCAATGATTAAGACTACAGCATCAAACTTCTCTTGTGGCAAAAGATGACAATACTCTGACATTCATTTATGATTATCTTAATTGTCCTTGAACTTTTTGTTTTGCTTGCCCAGGTTTCAACTAGCAGTCAAATTTGAGTGGAGTTGTTCTTTGCATAATGGTCCGGCAAATGTAATTGTTTCAGGAAATGTATTCATTTAAACTTGCCCTGGAATTCCTTCATGAGGTAATTTCCTTCAGTTGAAGCGTTTGCAATGACTTTAGGGGCCTGATGTGGGAGATGCAGATCGCCTTTCAAAAACTAATATACCATTCATGTGAGCAGAAAATAGAAATGAGTTTTTCAGACACCATTTAAAAAGTTACAGAGAACAGGGTCTAGGCCCAAAACGTCAGCTTTCCTGCTCCTCTGCTGCTTGGCCTGCTGTGTTTATCCAGCTCTACACCTTATTATCTCAGGTTCTCCAGCATCTGCAGTTCCTACTATCTCTATAACTGAGAACAATAGTTGTATTTCTTTCCAGTGGATATTTGGACTATTAAAATGAGCACTTTAATTGTGGAGCTTTTTAAGTTAGATAAATACAGATTCTGAATTTGGTATCAGCTAATTCAATTCTGTGTGGATGGGTACTGGAATCGGTGCATAGAATATACGGAATTATACGTATTAATTAGTTTGTATTTGTTTCTGTGTATTCAAGGTGTGCTCTATGTGGTCAGGTGTGCACTACCCCTTTTTAAGAGAGTGGATCAGATGAGCCGGAGGCTGGAGCTTGGAGAGGCAGTTTAAACCTGACTCTGGAGTTGTGAGGACGCACAATAAAATATTCCTTATTCAAGTTTACCCTTAGTCTGCCTCATGTTCTATTTATGGTTCCAATGAGCTACAAACATAATACAAGGTCAACACTGAAATAAATTGTTTTCATCTTATTCTGTAGTTCCTTCGTTTATCAGTGATTAACATGTATGTTCTTGAAGGCTCGGTGAATGTATTTGCTAATCATTTGTTTACTGCAAAGGCTTTCACTCTTTGCACCTGACACAATTCATATGCTACATACAAAGGACAGCTTTAATTAGGTTGATTCCAAATGCACTGACGTAGTAATATGATTGGGATATACATATAAACTTGCTTATTCCAGTTTGTAATATGTTATCTTTGGCCATTAAGCAAATTTTAAAAGCTTTTATACAGCTTGTGTTCTGCTTTATTGTACTTCATTTTCACTTTGGAAAAATGCCCTTAATTTATGTAAATTCCCATCAGAGTGTAAATGACATGAATGATTTCTTTGCTTTAAACTGATTAGGGCAGTATGGTACTTATTCCCCCCTGATACGCTGAAGGGTGTTTAAATTAGCGCAAAAATTTGTGAATGCATGTCACTTTTTTGTTTGCTTTAAGCCAAGCAGAAATTTGTCTTTTCTATTTTTGTTCATTAAGGCAAAGCTGTTGACTCACTTTACTGGCAAGCACCTGCTAGTCTCTGCTAATGACATTTTAATTGGCCATTGACTAATTGTTCACTAAAGCGCAAGGCAAGTGCATGAAATCTGCAGCCACAAAATACCCCATTTTTATTTTTAATTCTCAATTTTTCCTCTCTTGTGAAGACTGCTTTTGTAATTTGCACCACTACAGAGCATTTGCATCTCTTGTCTTAACTGTAGTTGCTGAATGCTGCTGTTTTATGGCAAATGCCAAGCAGCTGTGTGCTATGATTATCTCACTGATTTGAGTACATTGCTTTATCAATAGGTGGGTCAGACATTAGTTGGATTGCTTGTGGGTAGGGTATAGCTGCAATACTTTTCAATTATACAATAAATACACCAGCGTTCTTCATACTTTGAGCTGGTCTAGATAGAGATGACCCCTCCTGCCTCCTTCCCTACCAGGAGTGCATGAGTTATTAGTTAGCATGCTGTGCTGCAGTTCAGACACCTGACCAGGCAGCAAGTGTGTAGCTGGCTGTCCTATCAATTGACTACACACGGATTTGGCAACACACAAGCATTTTAGGGAGGAGGATAGAGTTCCACCCTACTTTTTCCAGTGTGTTGGCAGTAACTTGTTGAAAGCAAATTAAAAGTTGTACTGTTAGCTTAATGTGCCTATATTGGATTTTTCAGGTAATTACCTTATTTCATTTGTGTTGCTTTGTAAAGTTTGTTGTGTGCATTTTTGCATGATTTCCATAAGGTTGGCAAACCCATGTACTCTTTAACAGATTCCTAACATGTCAAGAATGTTTTCTGTGAACAATGAATTTGGCCAGGGAAGTCAATTAAGTGATGTTTATTAATACAATGGAGCACATTCACTTTTGCTTTGTGAAAGCAGGGCTGGAGTTGGAACTGTTTTATGAAGTGCCTAGCCACTGAATACATTAAAACACCAAGGGGAGATGAGATGTTGGTGTGAGCAACTTTTGATGCAGAAGTAGGTATTCTTCTTTTTGAATGCTCTTTAAACTGCTTTACAGATGTTTCAATGCCATCTGTCTATATTTAGCTGTTGCTGTTTTAAATTTATTACAGGTTGCATATTCTGAAAATGCTTAATTTTGCTTGTAACTAAAATACTACACAGATGGGTAATTTGGCATTGGTAGACTCGTGCCCTTCCAACTTAACCTAGTTTCAATATTGAACTGTTCCAGCTTGTGATAGTTTAAGAATGTTCAGTAACCTTATTAAAATAGAAGAGATTTATTACAATTGTTCAGTTCACAAAAGAAGTTTCATGATATACTGATTTATAATATGTAATCCAACTTGATAATTGTATAAGTAGGGTGAAGATCATCACATTGTTTCACATCACATTGTTTCATGTTCCTTGGCTTTTAGAACAATTCCTGCTATGAAATTGGATTGTCGTTTGAAACGCCCCTGGAATTTGTTCCAATTGTAGTTTTATTGAATCACCTCTTTCGCATGCCTGCCATACTTTGTATAAAGTGTGTGTGTATGTGTGCGTGAGTGTGAGACACACACGTTCCTAAGGAAATAACAAGCAACTTTTATATTGTTGCTTGATCTCGTCAGTTGTCTGCATGTTGAAACAAGGGAAGCAGTTTCTTTGCCATTGCCAGTATGTAGTGAATTGCTGGTGTGCTGTTTATGGTTTTTCCATCCATTAACTTTGTGAAAAGTGTATGATATGATTTGTAATTTTCAGATGTGCTTCTGTGTGAAGTCTACGGCCAATGTATATTTAAATTAGTTCCCAGTGTTGCCTTGCATGTGGATGTTTCATGTATAATGATTCCCTGGAGTTTTATGACATCAATATACTGTTAATTCTTCCAACTTGAATTCTTGACCAAGAGAACAATTAGGTTTGTATTACTTAACATGCACATCAGATGAAGTTCTTGTAACTCTCGATTTTATGATTATCATCTTTGTATAAATGTTTTTTGTTTTGGTTGAGGTTTATCTATTGTATCAAATAAAGCAGCATTTGAGCTTGAGTTTGTGTAATTTGGTCATTGTACCTTTTTGAGAAGGAGGCCATCGTCACTTTACAAAAGTTGGCTCCCACTTCTGTTTGAGTGGATGGATAAACTTAGTGCAGACAGGCGCTTTAATAAGTGGCTTATTTTTCAGATAGGCAGTGTCCATGGACGTATTCTTGATTTAGGATAGAAGAATTGCACATGGAGGCAAATGTAATATCTTCACGTGATTTGCTGGATGTTCACACTATCTGTGTAAAATGTGTTTTCCCAATCTAGTTGATTGCCCCAAATATTATAGTGCTGGGCTGGGTGTCAATTGTGGAAGCAATGAAAGTATGTTTTTCAGCCTGATGACCACACCTGGTGTTAGAAATTGTATAGGGGTGTGGTCAAATACGCTTGAGGATTAAACTATTTTAATGAAGATTTTATTACAAATAAATATACTTGATTATGATCATTATTCCAAAACTAGCAATGTAATACATACAATAATGAACCCAAATGTACCCTCTCTTTCACTCCCTCTTGGCTTAATGTGAATGATGCAGTTGGTCACCCTCTTTGCAAAAGCAAAGTGCAATGTCACATGTTTTTGTCTTCACAGGTGATATCTGACTTGGTGAATCCTTCTAGCATTTTTGATTTTTCTTTTCGGACTGCCAGCGTCCAGAATATTTTGTTTTTGGCTTGACAACATACTTTACTGTGATCTATAATCCAGTGTTGAGAACCACATGGGGGGAAAATAGGTGAGAAAGAGAGACCAAAAGACATCACAACTTGTAGGTGCTGCCAAGCACTTTATTCTAAATCTTTAAGAAGACTTTCCTTTTTTTTTTTAAAAAAATTCTCTAAAAACACAAAACCTAAAACCACACCCTCTTTTTATTTTCTGTTACAGTCATCATCCTACTTCTTAAAAATCCAAAAGTTAGGTATATCTCTAGCAGGAATAGAAGCTACTTTTACAACTTACTTTTGACGTGCATTGACAACTAATCACTGAGATGCCCCTCTTAATGTTAAAGTAAGGTTGTAGCAGTATTTTTACTGAGATATTTCAATCTCATCCACCAGAATTGTAGATCAAGTTTTTTTTTTTTTTTGTTTGCTGGTTTACAAATCTGTTATTCATGGATTATTTTGCCAATTGTTTTAAATCTGTGTTGTAATAAAAGAAAATTACTGCATGTGCTGGAAGCCTCACCACAGTTGTTTCTTTTTTTTTTACCTTTCATCTCTATTAAATCTACCTTGACTGTTTCTAAAGAGAACAAGGACGGCTTTTCTTGTCACCCTACCCACTGAAGTTCAACCTCCCCTTCTCCCTATAAATGTGGTTATAGGAATTTATAATATAAGAGGTTGACAGGCTGTGCACATAGACGCAAGACTTTTAATAGATCATAGATGTGAAATTCTAGTGGACGAAGACTGTCTTCAGTGTATCAGTATGTTAATATAGATCTGAAAGTCCTAGAGTGAAATCCTGGATTGCCTGCACTACTGCCTCAGACCTCAGTAAGAATCAACACCTCCGGTGAGGAAATGAAAAAAATCAAGAAACAAAATTATGAGAGCTGATTTGGATTTTAATACCACTTATGGAAAAATCATGAAAGTTTTGACCGTGTGGTATGCATACTTACAAAATCAAAAATGAAATCAAAACTATGTAATCTAATAAATATTGAATATACACCTTTTCCTGCCTTTATTGCTTAGTCATGTGTGCTTGACTATTTTAACTTAGTTGCATGCACACTGGAAGAAAAGCCCACGTCCAGCCCATATCATTGGTTAACTTCAATTCTTTCATGAGTGTTGCTGGCAAGGCAGCATTTGTTGCCCATCCTTAATAGGCCCACTTGATCAGCTATTTCAGTTGGCAGTTAAGAGTCAATAAGATCATTATGGACCTGGAATGACATGTAGGCCAGACCAGGTACGGAAGATAGAGTTTCTTCCCTCGGAACATTAGTGAGCCAGCTTAGTTTTTACAATGATCGAGAGCTGTCATGATTACCTATTACTGAGTAGCAGTGTATATTAGATTTCTTTCCTTAAAAATGAATTTAAAGTTCACTTACTATGCTGCCGTTTGAACCGTTGTTGACTTGTCCAGTACATCGCCACTAGGCCAACACCTCATTTCAGGTTGAAGTACTTCCCTGATGCTCCCAAGATCTCGCATTTATTTTCTCAACTCCAAGACAGTTGAGAATGCGCAGTAGATTTGCACTGCATCCACTGTACATTTTGTGTGATTTTTCCTGATGGAACAGTAGACCAGATTAGAAGCTCAAATGGGCTGTAATTTGCTGATGTGTGTAATAGGTAAATTGTTGCTTTTTAAGAAATTGTCATTTTTATAAAGCAAATTGAAGCCATTTGAAAGCATTTTTACTTTGATATCATATCGTACATTGAATTTTTGTATGTTCCTCTTGTGTAGAGAAGAATCTAAATATTCAACGAAGCACAAGAAAAGCTACACATTGTATACAAATCAGTCTACATCTACGGAAAGAAAGAAAGAACACATGGGTGGAACCTTTTGCTTCTGCAAGTGGTCAGTTTGGAGGTGGGAAAGGGACTGAATTTGCTGGGGTGCCAAACCCCATTGCTTTCTCCATTCTGCTGGAATTGATTTTTTTTTTTTTTTTTTTGGGACAAGAAATTCCAAAGGTCACAGACTTCCCCTGCCCTGCTGCTGTGTAAGGATCTTGATCCAGTGCCACTGGATACACTCGGCTGCAGGTGGGCCTGTTGCCGTTTGGTGTGCCTGACAGGTGAAAGTTCGTAGGCAGTTTGCCCCCTCAAGGAGGGAGGTTTTGTTGATCAAAAGAAATTGCCATTTGAGGGTGTGGGCAGAAGGCATGGATTGTCTGCTGAAAGCCAACAGTCCTTAAACCACCACCACCACGACAAACCCCAGAGCCTCTTAACTGCCCACCCCATAGTTACATTACTTCCAAGTCTTACAAGATCCTGGTTGCTCTGCTGGTAATAGCCACAGCCTCCCTTGTGGTGCTGCTGGCTTCTGATTGGCCAGCAGCTCTCCCTGGACTTATGCCCATGATGCCTTAATTCCAGGTGAAGGTTTGCCAATGGCCTCACCAATTGCTGATTACATTGGATCCAATAGGCCTTCCCTGGAGAAGGCCCTCCATCTCTCAGTAAAGAAACTTCCACCATGTCAAGATTCTAAAGTGTCAGCACCTTTTGGGCTATCTTCTTTCATCTCCTCATCGAGTAATGTGATGCTGGATAAGGCACAAGCCCGAAAAACAAATCTGCATAGAAGTTTGTTTTGATATTACCGAGTCATTTTGTTCTCTATTTAAACCTAAGTGGTTAAATTTAATAATGATTGAACAGTTTGTTTTTTGAAATATGGCGCAAACAATTGTTGTGAGACAATTGACATACACATGCCTCATTACAGCAGTTCCTAAAAGTAGCTGAAATGGAGGAATGTTGGGCCATATTTTCCTGAGGCGATGCCATTTGATGCAGATTGCAACTCCGGCCTTTTTCCATTTTAGGAATAAAGGAGCTTACATTCTTGATAGGAGACTTCATTCAGAAATATGGAGTTGTTTCCATTTCTGACACTTTCATAGCATAGAATTGTCAGAGGAAGGAAGGTTGCCATTTTTCACAGCAATCAGCTGTCACATTCTGAAATGTAAATGTTCTGACTGCCTGGTTGACTGCTGCTGTCAACCATAAGTACATGAGGTAAGTGTGATGTTCAGCTGCTGGGAGAGGAAGGTGCTAGATGGGTAAGGGTGGTTGTTGACCAGGTTGGTAGAGTACCAGGTAAGCAAGGTGGCAGCTAGGGAAGAGTAAGGTGCCAGGTGTTAGATGCCAATGATTAGAAGTGGGGTGCTAGGAGGGTAGGATGCCATAGAGTTTAGGGAATTGGGTCTGGTGAGAGGGGTTGGGTGCACAGATAGGATGAGTCCTGCAGGGGAGGGCAAGGGAGAAGAGTTGCTGGGTCTGGAGGTCAGCACAAGTTGCTATTAGATCTGGCCTAGTCCAATGGGGAGTTGACCAGGATCTGCCAGCGAGGTGGGGTGAGGCGGTGCAGTTTTGGTCTGAAAACAGAAGCGGAGGACCTGGTTGTTTGGCTCTGGTTTGGGAGTCTGTATGCTTGGCTTTGGCAGGGAGGAAGGTGTCATTGGGTTTGGCAGTGGGGATTGTGGTGTTAGCTCTAGCAGGATATCAAGTTATCAGATGCAAAGCAGGATAGAGTGATGGGTTCATGGATGGGTGGGGGGGTGCTAGAGTGTTGGTGAGATAAGTATGGGGTCTGTTAAATAGCTGCTTAGGAGTTGGACTGAGCAACTGTTCTCTTAATTTTGGTAGAACCTTCCAAAATCTCCAGTGTTTGGGGCATGGAGGAATTGACCAGCAGAAAATTCAATTTCCTAGGCAATTCCTCTGGTGTGTGCTATGGTGGGGATTATGCAAGTTTACCATGTGCAACTCCTATCAATACTGACATAGTTGATAGTGTTGCAGAGAGAGAGAGAGACCACTCCGCATTAAGAGAAAGCTGTTGAAGTGGATAAATAATGTCAGTGCAAGAGGATTATGATAACATCAAAAAGAACCTGGATGGATTTGTCTTGTATTTGTATATAAATCGTTGAAGATACAGATAGAAATTAACTGCAGGCGAAAGAATTATTCTTGATTTGACAGGAGCAATAAAGTACTGGCATGTCACCTGCAATAATTTCTTTTCATTCTTTCTTTCCCGCCTTCACCCCCCAAATACCGAGATGAGAATGGTGCTTGTTCTTAGGCCTGTCAATGCTGCTCTGTAACTTTGTATGGGAGGTGAGCAGTGGCTGACCCAGTGTGTGGCCTGCTATTCTGACTTA